TCCACAAGTTATTTTGTTCACCTCTGCTGTGGTCAGGTATTGAACCCGTAACTCTTTGGGTCAAGTCACTTTTTGAATTACTTCAACCAACACTTTTATCCACTGGGCCATCTGACAATAATGATGAGGACAACAGTCCAAACAATGTAAGTAATGTAAATAGTTTCAAAACATCTCAGAAATACAACCATTTATTTATTTGCTGATCAATATATTTACATATATACAAGTAAATGCAATATCTTGATTATTTTCATCATTTCAGAGCTTTTTATAAATTCAAAAAAAATGGCCCAGCAAATGACCCTCTCACATGAACAGCAATGCATATTGTTTCTGTATGAATACAAGTCCTGCTGAAATGCTGGCTAATTGCAACATCGTATCAACCAAACTATTGGTCATCACACTGCCTACGATTGATTCGAGAAGTTCCAGAATGGCCAATTTAATCTCCAAGATCAACCAAGAAGTGGTTGACCCTTACGCATTGATAATGAGCATTTGTGCAGCCGTGTAAAAGTTGATCTGCACCAGACAGCATGCAAATAATAATATTGTTAATTTCATATATTTAAGCTCTGCAAAATTTGGCATTGAGCTCTCAGTTTATTTCATGTGTACAATAAAAATAGTTTTAAGGTATGCTATACTAATTGATAAAAGTGCTCAATATCAGGGAGAGGAGACCGAGGTCAACAGGGTTTCAGGCTTGGATGCAATCTTCTAGCATGAACCTGATTGTTGGTGCTTGGTGTTGACCTCAGTGTATATATATATATATATAAAAAATTTTATAAAGAAGTTGTCATACAAAGAATAAATCAGTAAAGTTAATGTAATTAATGGTGAACTCACTTCACAAACAGATTTAATAATTAAAGTTACCTGAAAAGGAAAAATAATATCCATGCCTGATAAGAATTATCGAAAGTAATAACAAATCTATGGAACATACAGAACATCTAATCCATTTTACAATTTTCAAAAACAAGAATTGTGACATTAAACGAGTGATTGGTAGGTTAATGCTTTATTAAATCTGTTAGTGAAGTGAATTCATCATTAATTACATTAATTTTATTGATTTATTCTTTGCATGACTATATCTTTGTAATATTAATTATACTGCATCATTATATATATATATATATATATATATATATATATATATATATATATATGTGTGTGTGTGTGTGTGTGTGCGTGTTGAACAATAAAAATATTTATTAAAATATTTAAAAGAAAAAAAGGAAATTAAAATTTTCAGATACACTGGGTTGTATATTAATATTTTTTTTGTTTTATTATTTCAATTACGTTCCTCGACTAGTTTCGAGTTTCAGCCAGCATGACAATCATCAGGAGAAAAAAAAATTCCTGCTTGTTAATAGCAGTGGACTACAGGAGTGAATGACCGTCTCTGAAGAAAGCGGACTTTATCTGTAGTTTTCATTTGTTTAGTTTTTTTATTGTTCATTTTAGTCATTCCTTGTATTGATTAAACAGCTGCTTTTAAGTTGTTTTGAAGATAGAGGATGGGAGATTCCTGATTCTCAGAATTACCTCTTTAGTCATTTTGACAGTTTTATTGTTTGCTGGGAAGGGCATGTGTGTGTTAAGTGTATGTTATCTTTTAGCTTTTTGGGAGTGTGTGTGATGTGTGTATGTGTATATATTTATGCAAGTATATGTAATTCAGTAACATTACAATTTTTCACACTTATTTAAGTCCTTTCTTTGCATATTTCTTAACACATTTCAGCTGATCCATTCTTTAGCCCTCATCAGGTGGAAAATCCATGAAAAAATAGAAACTTTCCTCACAGATTGTATTAACATGAAGTATTCAAAGAAAGCATTCAAGTGTCTGAACAAAATCTAGAATATATATTTTTACACACACCCAAAACATTTTGGAGAGGTAGTGACAAGCTACCATGCACCATGTCAAACCCCCTGCCCAAAACACACCTAAAAAACACAAATTCTAAAGTTATTTATAACATACACTCCTTGAATCTGAGACAAGCAGGGAAGTAGTGACTTTTGTTAATTAAAGAACTCTCAAAGCATGAAGATGAGAACTAAAGCAATCATTACAGAAAAGTGCATTGCAAACTCATTGTGCCATACCAAAACTGAAACAATTCTAAGTTATCTTGCTAATAATTTTTAAACTACTACGATCCAAAAGTCTATACGAGATTAGTAAGCATGCAAATCCAATATACACTGAAACACTACAATTAATTGGTACACTATAAAAAGTAACAAAAAGAAACATTACAATTAATTGGTACACTATAAAAAGTAACAAAAATTAATTTCAAATACTAAAATTTGCACTTTTTTTTCATGTACACTGTTGTCCTTATCTTTGTTGTTGTTGTTATATTTCAGCAGTTGTGCTCTCCAGCCATCATCAGGTTATCCAGGAAAGTACAACAGTTAAACGTAATAACAACAACAAAGACAATAGTCCATATGTAATTGCTGTTTACATTTTTGGCAGATCTGAGCAGACATGAAATTTCAGGAATCTAAAAACAAGGATGTGTTTAAAGGCAGCATTCAATTTTGCTTAATTGATGGTGAAATATCATTAAAGACAACAAACATTTTGTCGATCATGCAATTTAAATTGTGTGTATTTAGGCAGCAAATGTTCTTTAACACAAATTTAAATTGCAACATCATGCAGCTTACCAAGACATTAAGACTCAAAAATTCCAGCAAAGTCTCATCAAAAAGTTTAATTTTTTTTTTCAAAATTAAATAAATAAATAAAAAAAAAAAAAAAAAAAAGATGCAGTTGGTGCAACTGCTCCCTCTACTGATTGAACTCATTTTTTCCACATTTTACAAAGCAAAACCATTTCGACTTTCTAACAATTTCTGATGGAATTTATCCCTTATCAGAAGAATTATTCGTAATTTCAACAAGTGAAGCAATAAAAATAATCAACACAAAATGTGTTATCTTAAACATTTCCTGCATATATATATATATATATATATATATATATATATATATATAAAAATAAAATATTCGACGTATGAGGGTCAAGCAGATCAGTTTCCAGGAAACCGACAGCCCGACACCGGCACATGAGATTTGATTATAGTGGTGAAGGCCTCGTGCAGGACCATCCACACTTTTTGAAGGGACGAATACAGAGACCTGGTGCACCGAATGCCACAAGGTTCCCAAACGACCATATATATATATATATATATATATATATATGTGTCCTTCAAATTAGTTTGTGACTAAAAGTTAAAACTAGAATAAATGAAAAAGAAAAACGTTTTTATAACTGATATCCATCAAACATGGCACGTGGAACTAGAACCGTCTACCCCAGTGAGCGAAAAAGGGTTCAGTTCGAAATTCCAACCACCTGAAGAAGGACTGAGCATACAACAGCCGAAACGTTGTGATAAATATGGCGACAAAGATGATGACAATAATGTTTTTATTTCTATCACTTTTGTCCATTTAAAAAATAAAAAAAAATTGTTTAATCAGAATCTGCATTCTAGAAATCCCTTTTTTCAATTATAGTCTTACAATATTTCAACCAATCAATTTTTTTTTAAAAAATACGGTTTTAATTGACCATTTTTGGTTTGACTTTATGAACAAAATTTAATTCTATAATAGAGAGACAAACTCAGGGGAATATTGAAAAGAAAAAGAAATTTGTCTCCTCAATGAAAGGAATAAAAATGTGACAAAACAGATTTGTGCCTTCAAAATATACATTCCTTGATCAAGCTTTGTTGTGAGGAGAGAATTTTTTTTTTCTTATCTTTCTTTTTATTTAAGCAAATTCACATACAGATAAACACTTCCAAGAAAAGACTTCATTAAAATGTGATTCACATGTGGTTAATAACAGTTTGCAGGTGACCATCTAATATTTCTCAGGAGAAAATAATTGTCATGATAATGATCAAAATTTGGTAATTTTATCTTCACTACAAAAAAAAAAAAAAAAAAAGGTGTGAAACCAACTGCTCCCCACCCCACTAACATAATTAAGTCTTTACCACATTTTACAAAGCAAAACTATTTTTTTGTTTTTTAAGTTTATACTTAAAAATCAATGACTTAAAAACAGAACCATATCAAGAGAATTTTGAATAGTGTGTTTTGATTTTACAGTGAATTCTCTCCAGAATTTAGAAAACTGAATTAAAGTTGGAAGCAAATAAGAAGCATGAATATTGCCACAAGAGAAAATTATTTAACTAATATCTTGGCTTTGTATTTCATTTTATAGATAAGGAATTGTCAATATAATTAATTCAAACTGTTTTTATTAGTGGTATAAAACAGGCATGATAAAACAAATATCAAAAGCATCTGACATTAAATATAAAAGGCTCCAAAAATACACTACTTAAGGCCTTCAAGGAAGTGGTATAGCAGATATATACATGTTGGTTAAACATGCATTACTGCCACCTAGTGGTCGTGTTTAATCCCTGGATCAGGCAGAGCACTGGTTTAAAAAACAAACAAAAAAAAAACTGGCATCACAAGAACAAAAATCATACAAATGACCAACAAATATCGCAGGTCAGTCAAGACAATGGACAACTGAAGAGGTTTAAAAGGTACTTGGTTAAAATTTATTGTCTATAATCGTGAAGAAGAGAATAATATTTTGAATAAATTATATGGCATTTTCCCCTGCAACTGATTTACTTTCAATGCCTTAACTATTTTCAGGTTATTTAAACCCCAAAAATAATTTACATTTTAAGAATTTTTGTTTTTTGGGGTTTTTTTTGTGTTTTTTTAAATAATAATGGTTTAGTGATAAAAGTCTTGCTACTTAACCCATAGCTGGGAAGAGAGGAGGTGGATTCATGTCTTTTTTAAGGGTATTTGCATGCAAGTGAATATAATGAAACCGACTGGAATTGGAACTCAGCTCTCCAATTAACAATTTTGATCTATTATCCATTACGCCACCTGCACATCCAACCTTGCAGCACCTGGTATTTCCAAGTGGTCACCCATCTAGGTACTGACCAGTCTCAACGTTGCTTAACTTTGGTGATCGTATGGGGAAACAACGTTTCAACATGATGTGGCCATAAACACATTTCGCTGTGATAACACAGAGTAAAATCAATTCTTGGAGGAATGCAATAATACAATTTTAAGTTTTTATTGTTGATTATTTTTTTGGGGGGGGGGAGAAAAAGAACAGTTTCATCACATGAAACCTTTTCTTAAATTTCCATTTTGTCTACTGGTTGCTAAATTAAGATTAGTAAGGTGGGTGTGGATGGTACTTAGGTAGATTTATGCCCGAGTATCAAGTATTGTATATTCTTAAATGGACTAACATTTTATATGAAATAAATTATGGATAATTTAGAGAATTTAAAAATTTTCATCATTAAGAATTCAATTTTTTTTTTTAAACCTTCAAAACAATTACATCTTTATTCAATTTCATAAAGAACAATTTATCAAGAATTTTTCAGGAAGCAGCCGATTGAAAAATAACAAAGAACTGTTCATTAGAAGCCAATTACTGCATGCAGTGCAATTATTAAAAGCTAAAAGATGAAGAAAGAAATTGCCATCTGTATCATTATTGCTCATGGCATCCGTTTCTTAAACTCCAACACCTGGAAAAGATTCAAAGTGATATCTACCGCTATAGATCTACATTTAAAAGCAGTTTAGTTAGATTTGGTAAGTCTCCAGTTTATGACAATCTATAACAATTCGTGTGGTTATGACAAATTAATCTGGTGAATTTTCAATAAAAGAAAAACAAATATGAGTTTTTTTTCTTTCTTCCCCAGATTTGCTGCTGTTTCAACATAGTACAAGAGAGACAAGATATAACGCTTCGTCATCTCATCTACTAAGAGCTAATGACAACACTGGCAATAAATATACAAGCAGCTTAAAACAATTTAATTTCATTATATGTATGATATTTATGTCTGCCATTTTCAGCGAAAAATGTTAACAGATAAGTTTTTACACAATTTATCAAATGCATTACTTTGATCTAAAGAACCTGACATTTATTAATTAAAAGAGAAAGTAATTTACTTAGAGGAAAATTACTGAGAGTGCCACTATTGAATCTTATCAAAATATGAATCTGTGCCACAGATTTTTTCCAATATTTCTATTCCTAAATGACTTAAGACTTTCCCAAGCCAAGATAGATGTCTAAAAAAAAAAAAAAAAAAAAATGTTAAAAAAAAAAAAAAAAAAAAAAAAAATCCATAACCTCATGTTATTCAAAATATATAACACATAAATTAATCCCAAACTAAAATAATTTAACTACTAACTTGCATAAAAAATATTTCCAAAACATCACTTACTCACTATATAAAAAATATTAAACTCTGAATTGTGTCACTTTGTGTCCTCCATAACTTTCCTGACTTTTCAGCTAACCTGATGAATATTTATATGTGTTCCTAAACTTAAATTTTTGTAAAGCCAATCACATTTTTCTCTTGTATATAAATACTTGTTACAAAATAAAATCCTTGCATTTGCCTTGATAAAATCCCTCACAGGACAAAACACATTGGGTAAGTTTGCCTTTATACAAGAAAGTTTTTCAAATTGTCATACATCATCAAATTTGCATCCAAATTTAAATACACATGAACACATACATGATGAAAAAAAAAAAAAAAAATGCAATGAAAAGTGAAATGAAAAGAAATACTTGTTCTTTTTATGCTTTTTTTTTTTTTTTAAAGTCATATCACCCAAGGCAGTAAAGCCACTAAGACACTGAGTGTGAAAGAATAAGGAAAAAAAAAAAAAAAAAAAAAAAAAAAAAAAAAAAAAAAAAAAGAGAAACATTATTAAGGAACGAGATCAATAAAAGAGTAATCATGAAGACAGTAGATAACAATTGAGATTGCATTTAAATTTTTGAAGATCAAAGTTGGCTGGAAAGAATGAAGCCAGAAGAGAGTTCCACAAGCAAAATGTGCGAGAAAAGAAACTTAACATTGAACTTGTGGTTACATCTAACCGATTCAACTATGAATCAATGAGACTTTATTGTCAATCTAACACTGCGCTTAGATTCATAAAGTCTAGGTACCATAGCAAAGAGCTCTTCTAGACTTCCAAAAATTTATTGTTGTTGAAAAAATAATCATAATAAATGTCCTGATGCTATATAATGCATGGCTTCCACAGCTTCTGATCTAAACTGACTGGAGGTCTTAACATGTACATATTTTATCTTGATGAATTAAGTTGGGCAACAGTAAATATACTGCTTGGTAGCCCATTTGCTTGTTAGTAAAGGAGTTGACTGTAGTCAAGATCATTGAGTGAACGCAAACAGTCCTTTCCTTAGCTGCATAGTATGTGTGTTGCTAGAGTTACATACAGTTTTGAATTCAGAGTTTTTCCTTTTCCTAGACCGGTTGCCATCCAAGGCTACAGAACCAACTCTGTCATTATTTTCCCATAGATGAAGGGAAAAAGAAAAAAAAAAAGTTAGGTTCATACGTTTCCCAAATGAATGTAATGAACTCAACTGAAATTCGAATTTGGTTCTCCAATTCCTCAATTGGAGGGTGCAATTCCGTACTCTACGGTGACTCCTTAAAAGTGTGTGCCTGACTGATATCAGTTGGGCATGTACATTAAGGGTTGTCACACCATGAGTATTTGTTCACGAACATAAGTAGTGGAAGAGAATAACAGCCAAATGTGGAGAGTGTTTTTTTTTTCTTCTCAGAAGGATAAGGCAGATAAGGCAACTTGGGAGTCACACATTCATACTGGGAAAAACTCAAGTGAGTTGATTTGTTTACATTTCTAACTATACTCCACTTGCCACTTTTATCTAAATCTGTCACCATATCACACATATTTGGCTGTGATGCATGTAACTGGTATACACTTATCAGTTTTTTTTTTTGTTTTTTTTCCAGTTTCGAAAATGAGCAATGAGAAATTTATTTATTGAAAAAAAAAAAAAAAAAGTTTGGACAAAATAACTATAAACAATTTTTTTTTTCTATTCTCTGCCAGCCACAATGATGGAGAAAGCATTACCTCGAACCATCAGCAGTGAGACACGCTTCAAGAGCCACTTCATTTTGCAAGGCCTATCCCTTAATTGAGATGCAATCATGCCAATCCTCAGAAGGAACACCATCGAACAAGGGCCAATAACCCCAGAAGTATCTACTGCCAAAGGAGTAGAAAAAAAAAAAAAAAAAAAATCAAAATAAGTATATTGGGCTTTGTATATTTGTACCTCAGTCTCTTTGTACCACAGTCTAATAATCATAATAATAATAATATTCATAAAATAGGTGACACTGAAAAAAATAAGTAAGTAAATATTTTTTTAAAAAATCAATTGGTCTTTTGGGGTGGGGACTATTTCCCCAAAGACTAGCTTTTTATAAATTAGAGAGGAAATTAGCAAATGTAAATCTCCGTTTGATGGCTAAAACCACAACATAAAATGACAAAAGAGAGAATGACAGTCAAAATAACTGACACACCTTCTCATTATGACAAATAATTGCTATATTGTCAGCTGTATTAATGAACAAATAGACACAAACCAAAATATCTGGCTTTAAAAACCAACTTCATACCACAAAATACATAGTTTAGGTGGAGGTAAGCCTACATGTTGATGATCCCTGGTCACCCAAGTGGCTCATAAAAAAGTACAAATTTCTGTTACTAGAAATTTTTTTTTTTTTTAGACACCGACACATATTGAAATCCTCACAGTATTTAGTATTGCTGAAATTATCACTAACATTTTTGTTGAAGCTAAAAACACTACTTGTTCAATTTCACAAACCAATCAATGAAATTCGCATAAGCTAATTTTTTTTTTTTTTTTAAATACTTTGCCAAAATCCTAATTCACGGTTTAATAATTTCTTTAATTTCATTTTATAGGACTTCATGGTACTATTTTTTTAAATTTGTTCTTTTCCTTTTTAACAGTGAAGAAAAAGTTCCTAAGATTTCTTACTCTTGAGCATGCAACATACAACAGGCAATCTGTAAATATTTCTTTCTGGAGACAAATTCCAGTTTCTTTAAGCATTTGGCCTCATTAATTATATTGGTGAAACTGCTACCAGTTGAGTCAAAGAAAGTGGCTCAGGAAATGCCTGACGAAGACCAATCTCTCTTTGTTGAAAGTTGTGCGGGGGGGGGGGGTAGATGTCTGGCCAACGTTCGCAGCTGTGGTTAAGCTATTTGATGTCTGTTCCCAGTGTAGCGGTGAACTTATTTTGCATGTTAAATAATAAAACTTAATTTTTCCAAAATTTATTATACTAAATTATGCAACCTAGTAAAACCAACTGTACTTTATACTCACTTATTCATTTGCACTTCTCCCCAAAATTTGGTTTTAATCAGTCAATGTATGGCTATTTTAGAGTGTCAGTTGGACAGACTAACAGAAGTCACAGAATTTTATAGAAAATAGATAAATTCAAGCCTTAAAATTGTACTTTTATCATTAGAATTCCTTTTTAACCATTTAACATTTGAACACTCAAACCCACCCTGCAAATATCAAAGTTTCAGTTTGTGGCCAAAATCTCACTGTTTGCATGACTTCTGTGTTATTTGCAATGATGTTTTCATTCATTATGGTAGAGTATGCATGGGGTTGAGGAATCGGAGAGCCAAGTTCAGATTCCAGTTGAATCCATTACATTCTAATAACCTTGGGAAAGATATGAATCTTCTTCTCCCACCATCTACGGATAAATAGCAGAACAAACCAGGTTCTATAGACTTGGATGGAAACTGGTTTACCACAGAAAGAAATGGCAACCTATTGTGGCGGGAAAAAAAAAATCAACCTCATCAGTTATGTATCGAAAGATACATGATCACCAAAGTGTGTATCGCCCATGGCACATAACTGACTGATGCATAGGGTGGGTTACAGTGAGTTGAATATTGAAAGCCGATATTTAGGGGGCAGATTTGGGTGTTTTGGATGTCAAAGGGTTAAATGAAACAACTGATTGTGCAGTGTCTCTTCACAGGGTGATTATGGCTCTCTCAAAACTTACTATCCTTTGTGGCTCTTAGTA